AGAATTTACTCGAAACGAAGTCATTTAGAATGTTTTTAGAGCATAAACAGTAGTGTATAGGATTTCCTGAAAGCGCGCACATGCGCGATCACGACGCTACGGAAGCCGGCAGACCAAACCAGCGCATGCTGCACAAACGTTTGACACCAATTTTGTCTGATTTGAAGAAGGTGGGGGGGCCAACTTCACTCAGGTCTTTATGCATGGAGTCTGCATGTTCTCCCTGAGCATGCATGGGTTCTCTCCAGGTACTCCGGCTTCCTCCCACAGTCCAAAAACATGACTGTTAGGTTAATTGGCTTCTCTAAATTCTCCTTAGGTGTGCATGAATGGTTGTTAGTCTCTGTGTTGTCCTGCGATGGACTGGAGACCTGTCCAGGGTGGACCCGCCTCTCTCCCGTAGACAGCAGGAGATAGACACCATCACCCCTCACCACCCTGCTTGTGATAAGCGTGATGGAAAATGGATGGATGGATATTAAATTAGATATAAATAAATTAGATCCATTTAGATAAATATTTAAAAAGAGATCATTTCTGTGTTTGATTCTTCCAGTCAATTCAACAAACCAAATGTTAGTCAACTAAACGATGAAAAATACATTGTTTGCTGAAGCGTGTTTCTTTTTTAAGATTTGCAGCTTTTATGCTGCAGGACGTTGTTCAAAAATTATACAAACAGCTCCGGAAACATTTGGGAAATAAGTATTTGTTATTTTATATTTAACTAAAGTAAGTAAAAATAGAAAGGCTGAAAAAAGACATTTTACTGACATTTTCACACATTTTTTAATTAAGCTCTTAAGGTACGTGTTTCACCAAGTGATGCAATAGTTTGTTTGATCTTTAAAAGAGGAAGCTGTTTTATTCAAACCTGCATTTTCTTCACAGCTGTTTGATTGCATAATTGCAATGGTGAAAGTTTTGTGCAACATCGGGGTTATTCAGCAGGATCAGTGGGATCAATAACGTCGTAAGAGTCTGAAACAAAGGCAACTAAATGTTTGTTTGTTGCTCTACCAGGTCAATTTTCAATTGATGCAAAACCTTAGTTGGACTTGAAATGAGGAACCCTGTCGTCACGTAGATCTACATGACTGTTGATGCCCAGACTTAAAGGAGAAATTATAGTTGTTTATTAAATAGAATATGAAGGATATTTAGGAAAAAAAACTTACAAACATGCTCACCTTTACTATTAATGTACAACAGTGTCTGATTGCGACATTTAGGATGGTTTTTCAATTATGTAAGCGAGAGTTTGAAGATTAAAAACAGGGTTTCCAACTTTGTGAAAGAGAATCGAATCTAGTGTTGAAAAGTTTTAGAAAAGTCTTTTTTTTTCTTTTATGTTTGATGCAAATTAAAATCATGTATTTTTACCTATTTCTACTGTTTGCATTATGTTGGTGAAGATTCTCAGTCATCCAGGTCAATCCAAAAAAAAATGAAAACAATCTACAGGACTTTGTTTCCAAGTTTGAAGACGTTTCTGTTCCATTCAGGAAGGTTTTTCAATTCAAAATGTCAGAAATAGCGTTTGAGTAGAGTACTGCTACTGGTCCCCGACGGGTCACCCACTAAAATGCTCTTTTGCGGGTAAAAAATACATAAATAAAAATAAACGGGTCGGGGGTCGGGTGGATATTTTTTTAGTGTGCGCGGGTAGTTGGTGATTTTTTTTTTTATGCGTG